TTTTTTTTTTTTTTTTTTTTTTTTTTTTTTTTTTTTTTTTTTTTTTTTTTTTTTTTTTTTTTTTTTTTTTTTTTTTTTTTTTTTTTTTTTTTTTTTCTGATGAAACAAGTTTTTTTTGCTCAAGAGCCACCCTGGAGAAACTCTTAAGCCGTAAACAACTGATTTCCTCATCACAGGAGGGATGTGAGCGGGAGCTGCAGCCCTTCCAGCTCCTCCACCAAAAGCCTGGGTGCCCTTGGGCGCAGCGCCCGACCTGTGCCCACCGCTGCCACCCCAGCAGGGACATCCCCACGGCAGGGTGGGCACCAGAGCCACCGTGGAATTGTCCTGGCTCCCTGCGAGCTGCTGGCTTTGCAAAGCCAGGCGGTGGGGGAGGAGGAGTACAGATTTATTTCCTACACTCGCCGCTGCCCCTCGCCTTTTGAATTCCCAGGGATCTTTCCCGGGAGCGGGGACAGGCGACGCGGGCAGGTCCTGGTTTAGTGCCCTCTTCTGGAGGCTCCAGCCGAGCTCCTGCCATCCCATCTGGCACATGTCACCTCCCCCTGCCCCCCCCACCCCGCCCCGGCCACGCTTGGCCCGGGGACCTTTCCCGGCTTGGCCTCCAAAACACACCCCGTGCCAGGAGGGAGTTTTTCTGGGAGCTGAGCGGTGTAAGAGATGCTCTGCCAGGGAAAAAAGCTGCCAGAGGGATGGATGCGTGGCACAGGGAGACAGCTGGATGCATCTGCAGGCTGGGAGGGCCCAGCACCGCTCCCTGCACCACCAGGAGCTCCAGGTAGGACATCTCCCTGCCCAGGGTGGCCCCCACCCTTGGCGAGAGGGAGGTGTCAGTGCCACCAGATGTACAACAAAATAAAAGCAAAATAAATTAAAAAAAAAAATGGGGCTGGTTTAAGGCCAAATAAGATGGGAAGTTCTGCTGCAAACTGCCTACATTTGTTCCTCTCCCCTGAGCGTTGTCTTCACACCACAGGGCTCAGCCATGCATGGATCCACTGGTGTGTTCATCCCACTGCCAAGGGGATGGGTTTATTTAAAACCCCTGAGACACCAAGAACTCATCCTTTGGCTGGTTTTAGGGCTCATTCCCTGGGAATAAAAGCGACAAGCTGCCAGTGGTTCAGTCCGGCAGCACCCACTGGACAGGGCAAGGTTGCGATCCAGCAGTGAAATAGTTAAAAATAACCTTCCAAACTGAAACACCAGCCCCCAGCAGCCCCCCGCAGCTGCCTGACAAAGGATGACCCAAACGATGATCGGAACATCCGCTGGGTCTTTCCCAGGAAGCTCGGGAAAGGCTGGGAAACTCAGGCACGGGACGGAGACAGCGCAGGGTGGGGATTGCTTGGCCACCCCCCCCACACCTCCTCGGGAACAGGGGGATGTGGGGGATTTTCCACAGGGTGGCTTAACTCTTTGGGCATGGAGTTTTTTGGGATTTGGAGCCCAATATCCTGCTAATAAGAGGATTCATCTGGAAAAAGCTCATTGGTGGGTGTCCCAGTGTCCTTGCCCATCCCTGGGATGCTGCGAGGGGGATGTGGGGACAGCACGGAGCCCCCTCCTCTGACCTTGGTGGGCATGAGGGGCTGGGAAGTGGGGCGGAGGTGACATCAGCAGTGTCATTAACACACTGAGCTAATGAGCCAGAAAACAAATCAAAGGGCAGAGAGAACCCACAGAGAGATTTGCAGGAGGAGCATCACGGGGAGGTGTCGGGGTCTGTTCCAGGGACACTGAGCCCCCCCGCCCAGAGCTGGCTCCCCCCTGCCCCCCGCCAGGGATGTGCCATGTGGGGTTAACAGGCACGGGGTGAGTCAGGCAGGGACACACCGCCCTGACCTGCCTGTCGGGCTGTGCTCATGTGGTCCCAGCCGGGAAAGTTTGGAAATTTCCCTTGCTGAGGCCACGTGAGCTGCAGAGCTCCTGCAGGGAGGGAGGCAGGGAGGGAGGGAAGGAGGAAACCCCCATCCCAGGGGGTCCTGCAGGTTATCCCATGCCCCAGGGTGAGGCAGCAGGGATGGCATTCCGGGGGTCCCGGCCGCTGCCTCCATCCCCCACCGTGCAGGATTTTGGGAGGGGAGCTGGGAATTGAGGAGCTGGGAGTTGGCAGGCGTTGTGTCAGCCCGGGTTTGAGCAATCCCTCGCTAAACCATCCCCACGGCTGATCCTTATCCCAGGTGGGGGTGATGCAACTCCCGCAGCTCCAGGTGGGGAAGGAAGGGGGGGGTGGTGGGATGTGCCAACTGGATTTCACAGCCCAGATCTCTCTCTGTTTCCGATCCCGCTACCCAGGCCATCGCCAGACGTTTTCCAAAGGGTTCCTTCTGCCCTGCAAGGATTTAACACCCCATCCATGTCCCGTGGAAGGATCCCAACTCTGTTTGCACCAGGGGAGCATCCCCAGCCCGGCACTTCTGGCATGGCTGAACTCATGGCACTATCCATACCCCCGGGAAAGCCCGGGATCAAGGGCCCAGTGGATCCTTACCCAGCGAGGCGTCCTCCTCGGGGCTCAGGGAGATGTGCTCATGGGCTGGCTGTGCGTACAGGCGGACCTGGTAGCGGTGGTACCCGCTGTGGGGAGGGGGCGAGGGCCGGACGTAGCCTGGGGGTGCAAAAGGTGATGGCTGAGCATCCCCTTGAGCTGAGTGGGAGCTGCTTCCCACCGTAACCACCCCCTCCAGCCTGGGGTTGCTCTCCCACCCAATGTCCTGCACACTGGTCAGTGGAAGTTCAGCCCCTGTGCCCATCCAAATCCATCCCCTCCCTGAGTGCCCAGGGGCCAGATCCTGTTTTTTGCCTCCCCTGAAACAACCTGCCCCAAAACCTCCTGCTTCGCCAGCCACCTCCCCCTCTCCTCCTCCTTTTCCTCCTCCTCTTACAACTTCAGAGCCCTGGGGTGCTCCTTGTCTCCATGCCAGGTGCCCCAACCTCTGCTCCCCCCCACCAAACCCCCTCCCCACGCTTGGGGCAGCACCCGCCCTGGTAGGGGACCCCCAGCACCCCACCAGTACATGGCCACCCCTCGCTCTTCATCAGGGACAGGAGGATGTGACACCAAGGGACAAGAGGCCAGAGCTCCTGCAGGGCTCCAGGAGAGCCCCCCAAGCCCCTCTCCCTGCTCCCCTCCGGGGTGTGAACTCCCCAAGCCACGTCTGGCCCGTTTTGAGCTGCAAGTCTTTGTTCGTGCAACATCACAGGAGTCGTCGCGATTCACCCGCTTTTATCTCGTGTTTTCCTTCAGGATTGAATCCCTTCCCCCCCACCACCACCCCTTTTCTGCACTGGGTTGGAGCGATTCCAACCGCTGGGGAGTTTTTTTTTAACCACTTTTGCCTCTAGGAATTAAAAAGAAGAGAAAAAGTGGCTCCTATTTCAGACAGTGCCCTCCCTCGTGTCCTGGTGTGCCACCACCTCCTCCCAGCTAGTGGAGACCCCAACCCCTCATTTGGGGTCGGCACTTACCTGACAGCACACGGCCCTTGACCTTCCCAACCCTCAGATCCGCACCCTGAAAGGACAAGGAGAGAAAGGGGTGAGCTGCTACCGAGACACACAGGGTGGGGATGGACCCCTCCTGCCCCCCCACTGCTCCCCAGGTATTCCCTTTCCAGCATTTTGTGTGTTTTCCTTGTGAGGATCATTAGGGAACAACTCCTCCAGGACGGGTGCTGGGCTGGGGTGGGTGTGAAGGGGCACAGCAGGGGGTTCCTTTGGCTATTTGGGATTTAGGGGCTCTATCCACGGCACACAGACTGTCCTGTCACCCACAGTGGAGCCCATCAGTGATCTGGTGATCCAGGGCAGTGATCTGGGCTGTGGCCCAGCGGGAAAACCACGGTATCCCTGTGAAAAGCCTGGGTGCTGCTCAGCACACCCGTGCTCAGGAGGGGTGGGAAGGGGCTGGATGAAGCGATTTACACCAGCATTCCCGTGGCAAAGCCCCTGCTCGGAGAGCAAGTCCTGCTGCTCAGCAGGCTCTGCTCTCCATCCCCACCCTGGGATGCTCCCCTGGAGGAGTGAGGCTTTGCTGGGATGCCCAGTGGGATGGGGGTTGATGGCAAAGGGGCAGCAACGGGAGCTGCAGCCACAGCCTGGCCCCGCACAACCCACCCCTCACCCCTGACCCGCTGTGCCATTCCCAGCCAGCCCCAACCTCCCCAGCGCTCGTAAATCCTTTCCTACGGCACCCGTTATTCCAGTCCTGCCCACGCACACTG